GATGTTTATCTGAAAAAATAAATAATTCATCGTTGAAAGAATTATGGTATCATATCTACCTTTAAAATGACGTATATATTCGTCAAACGCAGTTAACTGGTTAAAAGCTTAAGTTAAAATTTTATTTTTTTATCTTTCTGACAGTTTAACTACACATTTTTCTCGCCGAGTGTCGATTGTCACTGGCGATATTTGCGTAGTCTTCACCAGAACTGCCATATCAGTCAAAATGACTGATTTCGATTTTTTGTTTCGCAATTATTGACATCTTAAAAGCATTAAATATTCAAAATCATCTTGAAAATAAACAGTTTTACTTGAATACTATAATGAATGTCCGAAGAAACTGAAAATAATGTATTGTTACAATTTTTATAGGGATTACATATCAATCGTATTAAACGCTCTGGTTCTAGTGTTAATAGTCTGCGAATCTGTAGACAAATAAAAAATTTTAGAAATACAGTTGTAAAAATAAAATTACAATAGAGAATAGATCTTCCTAACGATACGTTGTTCGATATAATAATGATTATATTGTAGCAGTAATAATTTTTTTGCGAGTGAAAGAGATTTCGACACTTCAAGGTCATCTGTAGTTTTTTCAATGAATTCATATGTTTTTTTTTATATAATAACCGATGCTACTTTATATTCTACATGAAAAACTAATAGCAGTTCTCAATACCACTATTTAAAGAATTCAATGCAATATTATTATTTTTGTACACTCCGCATTACCTTTTTATCTCTTGTACCTTATATGATAAATGAATAGTTAAAACTTTTCAATTATGTCAATGTATATTGTATGTTTGTTAAAAATAATTAAAGAATAGTATTACACGTTACAATATTGTGTTGAATTTTTATGTAGTCTATCATGAACAGAAGAATTGTGATTTATTAATAATTACAGGCTTATATAAAAACAATAAATTAATGATCTTTTCAATGGTTCTATCACAGACAATTAGCAAATTAAAAAATATCATTATTAGCACTCAGAAGTTGAATAGAAATTTTGACACTAGGGAAATTTGACCTGAATGATTTCGTGTTCAATTAAATGCAAATTAAATCAGCCATGCCTTTCTTTCATTAAATTATCGTGATATTGAACATTCCGAATCTCATTATTGAATTAAATATTATTATCAATCTATTGAATTAAATATTATTATCAATCTACTGAATTAAATATTGTTGTCAATCCATTGAATTAAATATTATTGTCAATCTATTGAATTAAATATTATTGTCATCTCAATATTGATTAAATATTATTCTACAGAACATAATGAGAAATTTCTGACAGTTGTAATACCCACCTATCATTATGGATAGGCTTATTGGAAAACATAACAGGATTTTCATTGTGAATTTGATAGAATTTCAAATTCGCTTTGTATATCTCACATTTGTTAGATTTTACTAGGTCATCAACTTTTAGTACAGAATAATTTTCATTATATAAAGGATAAATGAATAGTGTTGGTTTGATGATATACATAAGAAAATATTTCTTAATACCCAAATATAATGACAACCAAAGACAAAAGGAATAATACAGATTTGAAAAAAAGGAAATTTTTTTTATTTCCCTTTTTTAATCTTATTTCTTTATTAAGATTGGAAAAATAGAGAAGTACAGGAAAAGGAAAGAAAAGGAGAAAAAACAGCATAAAAAATCTAAAAAATTAACTTGATAAATGTAACTTGTATGTTAAAACTGTAGGTACTATATAATTAATTAATTCCTTCTTTTTTTCAACAATTGCACTAGAATTATATTTATATTTTATTAGAAGGAACAGAAATTTGAGTTGCACAGCTAGTCTATATTTATCCTAAACATTAACTGTCAATAATGAATAGCGGTTGTACTGCAAGAAATTTGACAATATATTCTATTGAATTTGAAAGTTCCAGAACAAATTCCTCTCGATATCACAATGCAAAAAATAAAAATGTATAGGTTTCTCATGCTATAATTCAAGAAATAAATGCATTAAAATTCAGATATGTGCTTAAAATGTCTTCACATATGCAATCCTGTCTGTTTAACAAACACTGTCACAAAGTCATCTAGTACGCAACATCGCAAAGCACTAAACCGGTCGTACTAAAGACTTTACAACGTGACATCCCTAAAACTATTCACAGCGAAAAAGAGTTGTATTCTTGTTTAGTAAGGAATTTCTCGGAATACAAAGGGGAAATGCAGCGTTGCGTGGAGCGGAAAGCGGCCGAGCCACGTGAAAAGAAATTAATGCTACCGTGTTCCAACGGTGGCTATGCGTAGTAAAAAAAATGTCAAAGGGATTTCCTGTCTTTGGTTCAAGTATCCTTTCCACAGTTCTATTTTGTCCTTAATTCTATGCTCTCTTAGTCGATCTCGTTCATTTGATGCCAACGAATATAAATGAATCACGTGAATTGGATAAACCAATAATGCACAACGTTCTGCGTATAAAATATCATTTGATTGATGGAAAGATTGATGTACAAATGAACAATAAATATGCAAATGTACAATACATGTACATATTTATTAATATATTCGATATTTATAATACTTAAAAAATATATATGTATATTATGCATTTGTATGTTTGTTAAATATTTATTGATTTTATTTAATATATTAATAATACATGTAAATGTATTTATTGTACATTTATACATTCGTTGAAATAAAAAAAATATCACTGGATTCATTTTTCTATTCGAAATCATAGAATTTCTGCAATGGCGGAATAAATAAGCTTATAAAAAGGTGGAAGAGGGTAATAGCAACCAATGGGAATTATATAGTAAAAAACCCTTTTTTTTATATTTTATAAAAACCTTCAAAACTTTTTCATCGATGGACAATAATAAGAATTGGATTAATTTAATGCACTATGTTTAAAGAACGAAATGGGAATTGATTTCATTTGTAACAAGATTCGGAGGAAATGAAATAGATGTTACATGGAAGTTTAAACAAAAAAATGTTATCAATTACGAATCAAAACTGAATGCTTTTAACTTTGTCGTAGAGTTTGAATATTTCTAACACATAGGTTAGCGATTCTTCATCGATCTTGATGAAATGTGTTATTGAAGATGTGATTCCGAGCAAATTTTTCCTTTTACATGTTAGCACCACTCAGTTTTCGTTTCTGAGATATTTTAAGATATTTGCAAAAAGATTTGTCAATTATTTAAAAATTTCGCTCTCTTACTTATTTAAATGACATTACACAGTTTTTATTTATTAATATATAAATATTATGAAACTAGTAATATTTCTACTAATTGTTTCAATAAAGTAAGGATTTCATGTTATTTACCTGGGACTATCTGTAAAACGTATAACAACAAGTAAAATAACACGAATGTAGTAAATATAGCATAGATCCTTATTCGAGGCCTAACAAGTTAACTACATTTGATGAGTATAAACGTTATCTTAAAGCTTGAAATGAAAATAATTTTTTCAATGATGAATTCTTTATTTTTTCAGATAAACATATAATTTTTCTTTGCTTTGGTTTGGTTTTTCATTCAAATATATTTTAGGTGCATCCTTCCTGCGTTTGATGAGTACATACATCATTTTTTGATGCGCACAAAACGAGAGATTTTTTAAACTAAATTCCACAGTTATCGGATTAGCGTAGTTATGATATATTACTATTATATTGAATAATTTAATAATTTCTCAAAAGATTATCTATATCTTCTCAACAATTGCAAAAGGAGAACTCAGGAATAATTATAACTTACTACAAAGTTCTAAATTTAAGTAAAACAAAATAAAAGTTACTAAAAAGATAAAAACAGATAGAACGAAGAAATGTACTATTTTTAGTAACAATAAACCGTATAAAGTTACTGTTTCAACAGTTTTTGTCAAGTTTTGAAATCAAGGGAAATATCAATACACCGTGATGGTAATAAAAATTTTAAAATAAGCCGCGGATTAAACAACACTGCTAGAGGATCCTTCAACTCGAATCATCTAACGACAATGCGCAGGAAACGATTTAATCGACAAAATGGATTGTCCATAGCGTAATGCGGCTTAAACCCGTTTCTCGCTAGTAGCGCAACTATTTCACGATGACACAAAAGTCCACTGATTAAAAAACTATGCTTATCGGCGGGATTCCCCGCAATTATGCAATCAAAGTCTCACTTTAGCGCCATAACTTTAATGGTATAAACGCGATCTATGGTAAACGTTTTAACGGAATAATTGTGTTGCTATTCTATGAGAAGAGATTGTTATTTCTACGAAATAAACGTATATTGTTTTTGAAAAAATTGTGTATTGTGTGAAAGTTTTATACTGTTCATCTTTTAGACTCCAAGTGTGCTACAATGCGATAATAACTTTAGTGCATTTTTGCAGTCAAGACTTTCGTTTTAGAGAGGAAAAATTAGTTGCAAAAATGTTCGTAAATTTATTTATTTATATTTAGTTTGTTAATTTATTGGATTCTAATATAAATAATATAGTTATTATATTATATAATAATATAATAGATAAAATACTTTAATATTAAACATTTTTTAAGTTTACATAATTTTTTTATTATTTAGATAAAAGATATAAATTCTTATTAAAACTTTGCAACATATCGTAAAAAACATATTCTCACTGATCAATATATATAAGTCAGCTTAAATTAACTCAGCTATCTAAAAAAGATTGACGATTTATGGGTGCCCCTAATAATATACATATGTTACCTATAAAGTTTACATACTGATACACTGTAAAAAATGCAACAATAAAACAAGTATTTCCTAATATTTTACGTTTCCATATTCTAAACCAACGTTCCCTATCGAGCGAATAATTTGTAAAAATTCTTCCTCGCTTATGGGGTTAGGATTAATTAAACCTTGAATAAATAAAACCATGCTCGAAATATTACGTATTCTATGAATATGGAAAGCAAAACATTAAATTTACGTAAACAAGGAAAATTATTATTTGTTTTCAGGAATAGAGACACCTCCGAGAAACGACTCGGTTCGTTTGGAACCAGGACCCCTGGTAAATGGTGCCGGGGCACTTTACGTCGCTGCGACTTGTGCGTGCGCTTTAATATTAGTCGTCGGCAGTGTCGCAAGCGCTCTGTATATTCGCAACAGCAAGGCTCGCATTCAGGAATCACAGTGAGTACAATTTCACAAGAACATTATTCTTAGTTAATTCAAAGTAATTCTGAAATTCACTCTGTGCGGGCAAATGAACTTAAGGCAAAACTATAGGAGCATCGTAGGATGCAAGAGTACTTATTTACCTATCTACCCAGCGGAGTAGAGCTATAGCAGCACTACAGTTTTTAATAATTCTAGTATGCCAAGCAATAACTTTTAAGTGTCAATAATAACACGAACGGAGTATGTTAAAAATATGTATTTAATGAAACAAGTAAATACATAACATTCATACAAAAGTAAATATATTAATAAATGTGATTTTCTACAAATGCACATCTATAGCACCAGTGGAACAACAACATTAAATAACGATAAATCTTTTATGCTATAACTACTTAAATATATTTTGATAATGCGTAGAACCACCTTTTTTATGAATGTACATATGAAAGTACAATATTTTCATAAGATTGTCTTAATGGTAACATATCCATATATAAATAAACAATCCCACAACATTTCTAGAACCAATCTATTAGTACTTTCTTTATTATTCCAGCACAATCGAGAGAGTTGCAGGCAAATCCAAAGTAATGATCAAGTAATGCATGAATTATCCAGTCTTTGCAGAGAGTCGATAAAATCAAAGCGAAACAATTCCACAGTAACAAGCGTCTCTGCGCAGAGAAGCGGGCGCGATTATGCATTTATCGAGCGTGTCCCGCTTATTAAATCCATAATTCCATCCGCGCGGCAAACGTGGACGCGATCGCACGCGAATAAATCAGAATTGGAGAGGGAGTGCGGGTGCACAGGCTCGGTTGCTCGTAAGGTACGCACGTCTGGCGGATTTTCACGTATCGCGTGGCGCATTCTCATTTCCCTCGAGTAGCCGGAGCGAAAAGTCGTCGTCAGCCGGCGTTACAAACTGTCACGAGTTTTCCACTGGATGCAAAAACTTACAAGCGACATTCTAAAGTTACATCGGTTTTCATGAGGTTTCGAGTGAAAGTGGTCTTCATAAAAATATGTGCCACGTATTTTTTCATCAATTATCATTTATATCGTAGATAACGATAAAAATTACTCCTCACAGGAAAACTTTATTTTGGAGGAAATGCGAGGAATGAGAAGTTTTAATGTAGTAATAAAAACTTCAGTTTTCCTATATTGGTATTCAGAGAAATTATTGAAAATAATGTTTTCTAATGTCGTATTTATAGAAATAGTGGTTTCTACTTCATGTCACAACTGGTTTCTGTCCAAGGAAAAAATAATTCGTATAACGGACAATCAATTGCAAAATAATTTATTTGAATAATTGTTTATAAATGAACTATGAATGTTAGTGCATGTAAAACTTTTAAAGAATTAATGAAATATGAAACTCGTTTGTCAGGAAAATTCTTATGAATTTGGGAAATTTTCTACTTCATCATTTTTTAAATACCTTTTATTTCTCCTCGTTTTTTTAAAAATCAAGTATTTACATTTTCCTCTTTACCGATAAAACTTTCTGTTCACCCCAATAGATATGCATCGAAGCAATATGCACTCGTTCAAAATCATTTACATCGACATTCGAATAAATAATTAAATTATTACAAATAAATATAATAATTTACAGCGAGTATCGAATAATCATTATCCGGCTGAAATATTGGGCTAACAAGAATTCATTAAAGGAACAATTCGAATAATGCCCAACCTCGTTAAAAGCTAGCTATACCTCCTTTTCGGAGGGACAGAAACAGTAGGACTGAAAGTTCCTACACCCCGCGGGGTATTCGATGGATAAGCTGGATAGGAAGAACTCGTCCACATGAAATATCCTTTCAATAAGCCCTAGTGATCCGTCGGTCGCTTGGCACGCCAGCCGACATTTTATTGCACGGGTACGCGCAAGGGCGTTCAAGGGAACTCCACCGGGAGAGGATGTAAGAACCGGAGGGAGAGAAACCACTCTCTTCCCTAGCCCTTCCGGCCCGGATATTCTTCCCTCTGCTTGAACCACTTGTCTTCTCCGCGGATGTTCGAATCGAAGATGACTTTAACACGTATAATATCTTCCTTGTTTTATAATGATCATGTGAGACAATGGATCCTGCCCTCCAGCTAGAGACCCATTCCTCTTTGGCACTAGGATAACTACTGCATTTGGGAAAAATAATTTTAAGATTATGCGGAGAGTGTCATTTTCATTTATAAAATTGATTATTTTTAATATTATTCGTTATTTAATCTTGATCAGGGCCTAGGGTTTTTTTCGATTCAAATCGGGATTAATTTTTACTGTGTGTTTTTTTTAAAGATTAAGGTTCAACGATACCTCAAATTCAAGCTAAAAAATATAATAAATTTTGCGGGAAAATATTGAATAATGTAATTGAAATTCTTATAAACTTGTTTTTTGTGCTATCTGTATAAAATGTAAACAAAATACAAAATTTACTTCGAACTTTGTCGTATTAAGTTATGCAGAATTTTATTTTGTAACTGTTATATTATTTCTGCTTATTATGTTTTATATTTAAACGATCAATTAATCAACAACAATGTAAAGTGTTCAGTAGTAAATTCATTTTAACTTTGAATATTCTTTTATGGAACCGAGCCCTCAATACTTCGTATTTTCTCTTTATAAGTATACAGGATATTCCGTTTTAGTCTATGAATTCAATTATTTCAATGTAGATAGGTTAACACTTTTTTGTAGAGAATGACCTCCCGCGTCGAGTGATCTAAATGAAGTTACATGAGACAAACTAAGTTACCTAGAAGCAAATTAGGTGTAACAAATTATTGCACCCTAAAAAAGAACAGAAAAAATTATAATTGAAACATTTTTAAGATAATGAATAGTTTCGGAGATAATTACATTTATAGATTAGAATGAGACACCTTATATACATATCTTTGTTGGGATTATTTAACCATTCGCATGACTCCACATGTAAGATAATTATTAACAATTTGAAAGCAATAATACTAACACGAAAACTTTAGCTGAATGACATATACGGTTACTCTAAAATTCTCTAGTTAAATGTTGCAAAGTTGTGCTATTAAAATATGCAGAAAAGTAGAAATGATGACTTTACGTATATTATGTTTGTAACCATTTCTTACTTAAAAATAAAAAGTGTTGACACCTTCTAAATAACCTAGAAATAATTTTAATTAATCATTTGAATACTATGAGTCATTGCATAAATTCAACAGAGAAACGTCTAGTAACATGATTGAGTAAAGTAGTCTCTTTTCATATTGAAAAGTACTAAACCCCCCAATGATGTTTGCTTGATTTCAGAATTGTACATGAATAAATACTATACATAAAGTGTAATTTATTGAAATGTCCAATAAAATAATTACGAGAATCTATAACCCGTTAACACATGAACTTTCTATTATTTAATATGCTTGATATGTACATTATATAAAAATTAAAAGGATAATTTTAATATATTTTATACCTATAATTGTAACGTATTCCTTTTTAATTTCTATCACCATTTACTATAATATGTCAGTGAAGTTATTAATTTTTAATATAATTCTGAATATTTAATACTCTTATAACAACAATAATTACAAAATGAAAAATTTAGAACTAGTCATTTTTATTGGTACAGTAATTCTGTTATTAAGTAAAATTCACGTGTGTATGTACTGTATGTAGAATACATATCGTGACCCGATGCTCTGGTTTCGTTGAAGCGTGAGAACAACGTGATTGTTGCACGTGGCTTTGTAGTTTATGGCACCATTTACACGGTATTTCTTTTCAGTACGTAAAACAAAGAGTCTAGAAAAGAACTAAAAGCGATTGTTAATGATTACTATACAAGTTATTTATATAAAAGTGGAAGCTGAAATATCTCTATTGCTTTAAATAACATGGAAACAAATTTGTTAAGTGAGAAACGTTCTTTTTAAAGAAACAATTATTGTAATAAAAAGAATATTGTTTCTTTTAAAATAGTATTCCAAAATTATGAATGTTCTTCTTTGTAAATTGGAGCACATATTTTTTCATGAATTCGTCACTATGAACTATAATGTTTATGGCTGTATGGCGTAATATTCATTCTGGTATTGTAAAGTGGTGTTTGTAATATAATGTTCATCTTCTTAGAGTCGTTGTTAAAAAATAGGTATTTCATTGTCAGTATGGTAGTATAAATTTAATCCGTGTTAAATTAAAATATCCTATTAATTTTATATTTAAAGTCATTTTACACATTTTATTTTTATATTTAAATTCATTTTCTTATATTTAAACTTATTTTGCACATTTTATTCGTAGTGTTCTTCATTCAAAATTAAAATAATAACGTTTTTAACACTAGAACTGCCGACCGTTTAATACGATTAATGTATAATCTCTATAAAAATTCTAACAATGTACTTTCTTTTGGTTTCTTTATACAGTCATTATAGTATTCAAGTGAAACTACTTATTTTTAAAATCATTTCGAATGTTTAACACTTTTAAGGTATCAATAATTGCATAATAAGTAAATTGAAATTCGCCATTTTTGTGGATGCAATAGTTCTAGTTTTAACATAAATGATCATTTTCATTCTGTTTTATACATTCTAATATTATCTACATTAATGAGATTTACAAGCTAATCATAAGAATTAGCAATAAAATGGAACAGTAGCTTAACAGTTTAACACCTTGTCACACATTACTATGTGTTTTTGTTTAATTAATTCATTAATTAATGCATATTTATGTACATATCAGAAGTATATACACCATTGTATATTCTTTTTAAATCGATTTGTTTTTAGCGTATTAAAACAGAATTGATTTTCACTAAATGATTTCATAAAACGTCCGGTATTCAACATATTTCATACTCTGAAATTGCTAGGTGCTTAAGTGTTAATAGAACACAGTAGATCATCTTCTCATCAGAAAGTTCATTTTAAAACATAAACTTCAAAAGTGTCTTAACAACTTTAATTAACACAGAGTAAAAAAATGTTATTATCCATTT